CGGGGTGGTTCCGGTCGTGAGGCTTGGCATGGCTGGCATCTCTTGACCACATCCTCGATGTCCTTGTCTAGCCCCGGCCACCACACGTAACTCCTGGCCAGGGCTTTCATGCGTACCACCCCTGGGTGTGCTTCGTGGAGGGCGGTGAGGACCCGTTCCCTTAAGGGCGAGGGGATGACCACCCGGCTTCCCCACAGCAAGCAAACTCACCTAAACACACCCCCTACTCCCGATTGGCTATTTACAGTAACCGAGAGACCTATTGGCCTCCCGGCTGGGGACCTAGCCCTTTCATTGGGCCAGCTAGGATCCTATGGACCCGTTGTATTTAGACCTTAAGCTATAGAGGAATTGTGCCTGGCCAGCCCGGGCAAGTCCGGGCATGTCAGGCTGAATACATTACAAGAACCTTAGTCTGTTCCAAGTATGAAAAAGCAAGGAGCAAGAAAACAATAATCCACTACTTATCTCTGGTGCAAACCCATCAGTATGAGAGCAGAATCACTGTCATGCAGTGCCCTCCGTCCCATCTGTCTCAGGCAGTCCAACAGATTTGATGATCTTTTAGTATAACATGCTGCTGAAAAGCCTGGATGAATGAACATAATAAAGGCCATCCATGCAGTTCTAGGCAAGGATAACCACATTGATTTTCGTTTAGAAACCTGCTCTGGGAGACTGGTATGGATCCACAAAGTCCATCTCATTCAAGAGATCCTGGAATTATGCCTGCTTACTTACTTTTGCCCCCAAAAGACAGATTTACAGCAGGGCTTGGTTATTCAAATAAACCAAGTCCAAAGAGGGTGGTGTTTTGTTTTTTTAAGAGCCAACATATCACAGCTTCCTTTAAAGTGCTAATAACAATCCCTTCTTCTGAGGAGATTTTCCCCATTGTTGTTCAAAGGGTATTTAGTATTGAATTAGTATATTGCATTTAGTACAAATTCAATATACAGCAGGCAGAGAAGAACCTTCAGAAATATGTCAGAGGAGTAGGGTTCCCAAGTCTGGGTTGGAAAATACCAGGAGACTTTGGGGGTGGCGCCAGACCCCACCTGGAGGGGTTTGGGGAGGGGAGGGGCCTCAGCATGGCACAGTGCCATAGAGTCCACCCTTCAAAGCAGCCATTTTCTCCAGGGGAGCTGATCTCTGTCAGCTAGAGATCAGTTGTAAAAGCGGGAGCTCTCCAGACCCCACCTGGAGGCTGGCAACCCTACAAAGGAGCCAAAAGTGAAGGACAGGTGAGACTGTGATCCATGGTAAGAGAATAACTGGGCGTTACAAATAAACAAAAAGGTCTGTATTTTCATTTGTGAAATGCTGGAGATAATGGAATTCACTTCCTCTGCCTTCTGGTCAAAGTTCTGTCGGTGTTTCACTTGAGTAGCATTGGGATTCTGAAAATTTTATTTAATTTTATTGAAGTGCTATTTTGTACAGCTCTTTATTATAGGAATTAAAATAATCCCCCCTTCCTTTGGGGACCTAACTACAGGTTAAGGCATGAAACCAAACCCCCATGGCCCCATTTATTTTTGCTGGGGGGAAAAACTTGTAGGAAGGGGCAAGTTTGGAGTGGTAAAGTGGCCAGAGGTGTGTGTACGTAACTGATTTCTTGCTTATAACTTCTCTGTTCCAAATCTTCCCTCCCCAAGTAGGTTTCCCTTATAAAAAGGACCACCAGATTTTGAATACATGTATTTGTCTGTGGCTTGTAGTTGGACAATTGCCACTTTCGCCACAGTTAGCAAACAAAATCAAGATGACTTCTACACTTCCATTTGCATTGTTCAGATTCTGCCTCATTAGGTTTTTAATATCAGTGTATTCATTTATAATTCAATCGTAACAGCTCATAGGGAGAATACTGAAAGGCAAAGATTGAAATGTCTGCCTGTTTGTGTGATCAGTTCTTTCCAAGAGTAGCATTTATCGTATAATGTTTGTTCTCTGCCTACCAAAAAACATGGGAAAACAAGACGCGAAAAAGCACAATCATCTAACACATTTAAATATTAAAAGCTCAGTTCAGTGAATCTTCACAATCTCAACACCACAGATAAAATACAAATTTAAAAAAATACAAATCCAAAAGATTTAAGAAAATACCCTACCTAATAGTAGTTTTTCAAGCACTCTTAAAGGCCAGTAAGAAAGAGGGTTAATGCAGAGTTCCGTAGAGATGTTTGGCCACAGAAAAGTCCCAGTTTCTCACAGAGATAAGTCACTGTGAGGAAGGGATGGCAAGAAACTGTGGGCAGATCCAAGATGCTTAGTTTTATTCTGTTTGGAGAAACACTTTTCAGGAATTTTAATAGTGTGCTTTTCTAGGAAGGAAGTTTAACTAATGAACTGATTAATCACTGAAATTTTGTTACTACTTTGTATTGTTTCATGCTGTTGTGTTTTTATTATCTTTGGTAGCCACTTTGTGCACAGTAGTAGTGCGGTATGTTTCAAAATAAAAACAAAAGATTTTTTTTTCTATAGGAGATTTATGGAAACACATCTAAAAATAATTCCCAGAGAAGCATTCTCCAATCTCCCCAACATCTCAAGAATGTAAGTTTTTCTCTCCCTACATTTTTAATATTGTAATAAGAAGAGAAGCAAAAAAAACCCATTGATTTTATTAATATGAGATGTTAAAAAGGAAGGTTGCAAGATATCTGTAGAATAGTAGAATAATTTTATTCTCTGTTCAGTTTTGGGTTCCAGCATATCCAAGACCATCTCAGGAAACAGATTCTTGAATCTCTATTTTAAATATCATACAGTCTTTTCATACATGCGATTACAGTGTGTTGCATAAAACCCCCCTCATGTGCATGCACACTTTTCCAAATACAATGAAATGGAAATTAGCAGTCCATACATATAGGTAAAGGGAGAGCAATACATTAGCATACAACAAGCTTAGTTTATATGGTTACCATTTGCATGGGTTAAATTCCGGGGGGAAACATAGTGAATGAAATAAATATGATGTATCCCTATATGTACGGACTGCTAATTTCCATTTCATTGTATCTGAAGAAGTGTGCGTGTACACAAAAGCTCATACCTTGAATAAAACTTTGTTGGACTTAAAGGTGCCACTGGACTCAGGCTTTGTTACGGAACTGACTACTCTCATTTCATGGTTGAGCGGGCATTTGAACTCAGGTCTCCAAGTTCAAAATCCAGCACTCAATCCATCATACCACTCTAACTCCCATCTTTGATATATGACATTCTTCTCCATGAGATTGCTGTCAGATCTTCTTGTACCTACATTCCTTCAAAGGTGGTGGTAGGGATGTGTTTTGCAGTCTTTGGAGAGAGAGCGCTTCACCTCACGATCCTCCAGTCCTGAATAAATACTTCAATTAGAGCTCCAAATTAGGCTGCCCATTTCTGGGGAGTATAACCTGCCACTCGGGAGGTCAGAATAAAAGGTAAAGATGAGGAAAAGTTCTGTGAATTGGTTGTAACATGCCCCCCTTCCTTGCGTCACACTCTTTTCCATTTGTGCAGTTATGGGATATCCTCAGAAAACGTGTAAGTATTTCAGTGCCTGAAGTCACTCTTGTGTTGCTCTGGGTTTTGTTAAAATCTGAACTGTTAAGACATTACCTATTGCTCCCTTTAAGCAAAGCACCTCCCTCTCCCACTGTAGCCTTAATGATATGGACAGTGGGGTAGCCATTAACGCAAGGAGTGAAGCTTCTATCTCCAGTTTGCTTAGCTGGTATGATGGCATAGAATGTTCACAAATGTTCCAACTAAAGGGACCTTTTGTGAGAGAAATAAAAGCTATCAGTTAAACTGGAATTAAAATTTCATGCAGATTCTGATCATAGCAGGAGAAATTTCATGAGGAAAAATGAGGACTGTAAAACAGGTAATAGAGGCTAGGCAGTTTTAGACAGGGTACAGACTGGACAGTGGGCTGAGAAACAGGAATCTGAGGAAGGGGTAGATGAAGGAGAATGAAGAAAACTGCAGTACTGTTGAGCTTTCCTAGCCTTGACTTCTGCAAAGACAAGCCATGGCAGGGGGGAGCAGGAGTGACTGGGAGACCAAAACAACCCTAGAAAAGGTCTCACCCCCCACCCCCCTGCACTCTGATGTCCCATGATGGAAGAGAATTCACTGGGTCTGGCAATCATTATGTGACCCAGGGACCAGGGCTAAAGGGGGAGGCTATGGGGGCAGCTGAGGGAGGGAAACAAAAAAGTAGGGGGGAAGGGATGCAGGAGAAAACGAGATTCCTCTCACAGGCTTTTGCAGGTCACCATCTTGTCTTTATATAATATAAAAGACAGAATCAATATTTTCTTAGCGATGCACTTCTTCAAAATAGGTTTTTTTTTCATTTGCTGTGAAGGTCAGTGGAAGGCTTTTAGTTATGTGACTTATATTCTAACTTCACAAAGTTACTCACTGTAGCTTTGGTTTGTTGATTCCAAAGTAATTGAAAAGTCACCATCTGGTCAACTGAAAAGCCTGGGCTTATTGGCTTCTTGCTCATGGGTTGCCTATCATCAGTGTTCCCTCTAAGCTGAGTTAGTGTGAGCTAGTTCACAGTTTTTTAGCCTCTGGCTCACACATTTTTGCCTTAGCTCAGGAAGGATGGCTCCAGAGCAAACTCATTTATGCAGTAGCCAAATCGCTCGCTCACAACTTTAATGCCAGTAGCTCACAAAGTAGAATTTTTGCTCACAAGACTCCACAGCTTAGAGGGAACATTGCAGCCATCATGTGCACCTGCTGTCATGCACAGGATTCTGGGTTTAGCCCGCTACATAAATCTCATTTGCAACTTACCATGGTGTGCCCTAAGCTGGCCACAGCCAAGGAGATAGGATGGAATAAAATTTTCTGATGATTCTGCTGCCTGCCCAGTGATTGTATGAGTTGACTTTTTGTACACCAACCTT